CTTTATGTTGCATTCTGTCGGATGAAAGAAACGTTTGATGATGCTACGCTACGGATGTCTGTCGTTGATGATGCTACGGCACAGAAGTGTTGGGGTGGGGTGGGGTGGGGTGGGCTAATAACGTTCATTTGCATGCGTTCGCCTATGTGATTATTCCAACACGCTCTTGACTCTTGATGCTACTTACATCTACTTACTCAGACTTACTCTTAGCTTGGAGCCTCCAAGACGCCCTTGACGCGACGCTCTCAGCTTTCTCTTGGATCTCTTGGAACTTCCATGGCGCTCTTGTGCTACGCTCTTAACTTACTTTTGGAACTTTCACTTGTCACTTCGAGGCGACGGCAAACCCACCGTCTTGTGCCTAATTATATAATGTATCTCTCTCAAATGGTGATGTTTCACCCGGATGCTTCCCAGCGGAAGGAGCTCCTGGGCTCCGCCAGTATCAGCTGTGGAGTAGCAAGGCGAACGGCGTTTTGATCATGTGGAGATGGGAAACTAATGGGAATATGGTGGGAAAATGTGGGATATAGTCATGAATCAATGGGATTACTATCATATGTTCATGAATCAAGCTGATGGAAATTCATACCTGGTTACCTATATACATCTATATACATATTAGTAATTAGTCATAAATTTATTTAAATTGATATACATGAAATTATCTTTTATCAAGAAAAAATTGGATCAAATTGATGGGATATTCATCAATTGCTCATCCATCAAATTCAGTTATGGGAAGATCACTTCAATCATATCACCAATCATTGAGGTGATGGTTGGAATATCCCAAATGATTGGCACTCCATCTTTTTCCCCAAATGCATGGACATATGTTTGATATAATTCCAAAATACCTCTATGGTAATCAAATGTGGCAATGGAAAATCCACCATGTTTGATGATTTTCGGCTCAACACCTCCATTTATAGTTCGGGGATTTCCCACCTTTTTGGGTCGTTGGATTCGGTGCTGGTTTCTACGGCCACCAGGCCCAACCACAAAGGCGACGTGGATGGCATGCTCTTGGATGCCCTGGTGGCACATATCGACCATCAATGCCGAAGTGAGGCGCTGTAAATCGCCACCGGATAGGTGTCTTTGTAAATGGGCTATATCATGCTATATCCTCCAAATGGTTATTTTAAATGAGGATAATGATTGACCAAGTGGAGTTATAGTTATAGTTATACTGTGGAGGGGCCTATATTCGGACGATCTCTTATTGCTGTCTTTTGCCTCTTGAAAGCAATTCATGGATGACTCGTTGTGGGTTGTAGTGAGCCAAGCTGGAGCCACATCAACATTGCATCTTTCCACAGCATCCCAACTGTCGGGAGTGTTTTTTTCCAGAATGTAGGCCGAGTAGCAGCATTGCTTCTCCCGATCACCAAGCTGATGTCCCCAGTTGAATATAGTTTAAGGTTATATAATGTTACATAATGTTACCTAATGTTACATAATGTTACACAATGTTACACAATGTTACATTGATTTGGGGTCAACCCCAATTGAAAGATTTTTGAGAAGCTCAAAAAACCTCGAGAGGCGCCTGGTGTGCTGCTGCTCTTCCAGCTGTTAGCGTCTCGACTGCTGTCTTGTTCCAGCCAGGCGTTGTTCAAGGCGTTTCTACTTTTAAGATCTTTCAAGTAACACACAAGATCTGTGGAAGCGAAGATCTTATGGCCTCTTAATAGAAAAGCAGGTCCGCTCGCCAGAATTTCCCTTGCGATCCCAAATCACTGAGATTCTTGGGATGGGTTGAAAGCAGCAAGTCATGTTTTTCTTTTTTAACCAGTAAACTAGCATAACTAGCATACAGCATGATATGTCATGATATATCTATATAGAACCAAGCAAGAGTATCGGAGATAGTGAGATAGTCCTTTCAACAAGTACATGGATATTAAGTTTTATTAAGCATGATTAAGCAACAAATTAAGATGGTTCCCAAGAATCCACAATAAACTGCTCCAACTCTTCAGGAATCTTCACTGGAAACTTAGTTTGGAATGGGTTCAAATGGCCAAGCAGAACGGAGATAGGAATCAAGATATGGTGATGGGTCAACACCGATTAAAAAACAAGACATTGGGGGAAGAACCGTCCATGATATGGTTTTGACCCACAATCATATATTATCAAGATTTCGAGTCAACCAGCTGCTCTCCTTTGTAATCAAGGAAAACATCTTGGAAGCCTGTGGAGCAGCACCTGATGTGCGCGAAGCTCTTTGCAGGAGTCCGACTGCAACCTGAGATCACGACCCCGAACGAACCAGCAGCCGGTGCCACTCTGCCAGGAGGATCCAGTCGTCAAAAGCCATCGTCTCAGCCCTTGTGGCCTTGGAGCAGATGGGAACTGGGGACCTCTGGGGACTTCTGAAACCAAGCTGGTTTCGCTTGGTCAAAAAATTGTAGGAAGACCCCCTCCAAAACCACCATTCTAACCCAACATGTCATCTTTTTGATGATTTTGGGGTATCCATATCCCCAATAATGTCCGCGTTGTATCCAAGAGACTGAGATACGATGTAACTTTCCCAGCAACCAGCAGCGCATGTCATTTGTGGGTCATATCCTCCATGTTTTGCAGCTGATGTGGCCCATACTTGCTCAGTCAGTGTTTGCAGGGGACTTGAACCATCTTGAACCGTTATTCATCTTCACTTTCTGATAACCTCTCTGTTTGTTGCTTGAACCCTTTGTTTACGTGTATATATATATATTGATTATTGTACGTATATAATATACAAGGACACAAAATTATGTGTGATACGTATCACATTATGGGTACCAATGACCAAATGGTTCAATGTTTGTCTTTTAAACTATTCGCTTTGTGGGGATTGGTAACTTGGACCTATTCCGCTATTCCCATGGACAGTTGAGGTTTCCAGCATGACGCTGGAGACAGAAATGGACATCTCGGAAGAATCCGGCCTGGGGACTCGGAGACTCGAGGACCAGGATGGACTGAACAGTTGAATTTGTCCAGACATGGAGTACCGTATACCCCCAAGATTGCTAGGGGTACTTTGAATAGGGAAGATGATTGAGCCATTGGACTCTGTTGTATTCTGGAGTACTTTAGATTTGGAAAAACCCATGTGGGCATGGGTCACACTTATCCACATTGAGCTGTTCTGTACTAAGAAAATATGAAGGAGCATTGAAGATGATTGACGTTTTTGAGCATCACTGCACCTAGTGGGGATGCAGCACAGTCAAGCTGCGTTCCGGAGCATGTTTTGAACTTCTGTCCAATTTCTTCCCACTTTTATAAATTCAATTTGCATGTTGTATTTTTGCAAAAACAAATGCGTGCAGTAGCAAGATAGTGACAGCATGTGCATCATGTGACAGTATTTGTTGCATCCCTCATCTTGGCACGATCGAGCACGCCAGCTGTCAGCTAGTCTCCACAAGGTCCCTTAGTCAGATGGTTGTCAGTATGTCAGCATGTTTCGTGTTGCAAGATCATCAAAATTGGGGCTCCTCTAAAATCCAGGGCAACACAATAAGTTTCCCATAGTTTCCCTATGGAAATTGCCATTTAATGAGGTATACCATGGGAAAAAAGACTTCAGACGCCCAAATCTACCCGTTTGACCCTGAGGTGCGTTGCTGCTGCGTTTGTTGGAGCGTGGGGGTCATGAATTCCTCGCCCCTCTGGCGCAAAACTGTGGACGATGCTCAGCAGCAGCTGAGACACTGCTGACACATTGAGTTTACTTCAAGTTGGCATTCACAACAAGTTCGGAGGAACTTGCCGGTCGTACAACATAGAACATCATAGAACTGTCTACAAGAGTTGATATCCGCGTTGCAGATCCCGTTGCACCCTTTTCTAGCACCAAGGCATTGCACGCGCTTTGGCGGAAGCAAAGCCAAGCAGCCAGCGGGGAACCACCTTGCTAGCTCTCTACAGGATGTGTGCCTTGCACCAGTCGCTCCTTAGTGCTTTGCTCCTCTCTGGGGACGTGACCTCGGATGCTGAGTCCATTGCAACTCAGCTACAAATGACGGATGCAAATATTTGGAATGGTCTCAAAACTCAGAACTCGGTTCAAATAGCGCAAACAGATTCAATTTCATGGCATTGTAAGGCTGGATCTCGGAACATCTGTGTTACTTCGAGTCGATTTTTTGGACTGCCCAAGGCAGTGGGTCTGAGTCGACACCTCGCCTCCAGCGAGGGAGCCTTGATGGCAGCAGCTGCTGAGTTGGTTGAGGACCTGGGTGCCATCTTCATAGGTGGGGCTGCGGCCAGTGATGGCTATGGTTAAAGGATGGTGGTTTCAGCAACAAAAATGGTGGGTTTCATGGATATATTTCATGATTTATCATGGAGAAAACTATGTAATACTATGTATATATATATATTTATAACTGATATAACCAACTACTGGTATAATCAGCTATAAGGATGTTGTTACCCTCCGGTAATCAAACATAGCTTGCTGGAAAATCCAACCGTTTATACATTAACTTCCCAGCTATAACCCTCAATTAGCAAGGGATTTTTCGCCATGTTTGATTACAGGGCGATGATGGCTGTTGTGGTTTTTTGTGGGCCCCCCACATGGATCTCACAGCTTTGATGTATCGGAGTCGGGCATCAGATTTGTCCCGCATCTTTGGCGTCAGGTGAGGATGTTCAGGTGGAGGGCTGGCTGAGAAAGGCTCAGCTCGCGCAGTGGTTGATCGAATGCTTGCGTCGGAAGCCCCAGGTGTTTGTACAGCTTGTGGGAGTGGCTTCTCATGGCCAGATATGGCTAGTTGATTTTGTGTGAAGTATGTGTTTCTCGAAAGTTGGGATTCGCCCAAACCTTTGGATTCTGTCACACAAACATGGGTAATCTTGATGGTTTTCGGGGCTCCCGATGTTGAAAAAACGTAAATCCCATGCGGTTTGGAAGTAGAGAGAAAGAAGCGATGGCAACTGGCCAAAGCTGATTTGACTGAGTCAGCATGCAGGGTGTGCATCAAAAATCCCCGCAAATACGTGGTGGAGCGCCCGTTTTTACAATTGTTTTTCTAATTGTTACAAGTTATAAGTCATAAGTGCATTATGTATTCAGAAACGTTGGAACCTTTTTACAAATCGGTGCAATCCAATGTTCATCGTCAAAAACTCAGCTTGTTCAGCTTCCAATCATCCAATCATCATCAATCATCATCAATCATCCAACATGTAAGATATATACAGATACATCACTATATATATATATATTATGATCTGTCACATATACAGATACACCACATATATCAATATACCACACTACAAATACAGATATACCACAATATATCCAATATATATCCAATATATTGTGCCAGGCCGGGGCGACCTGTCCGCCCGCTGCGCGGCCTGTCGCGCGCTGCGCGGCCAGCTCCCATTGGATGATCAGCTCAGACCGCTGCATGCCGTGGCAGCAGATGCCCTGATGGTTCGCGTCACGGGTCCCGTGACAGGGTCAGTTGTTAGAGGATTTTCCATAGGATTACCATGGACTACCCTCTGGTAAACTAACATAACTATAGAAAATCACCATGTTTAATGGGTAAATCAACTATTTCTATGGTCATTTTCAATAGCTATGTTAAATTACCAGAGGGTAAGCTATAAAAACTTCCAATTGTCTTGGGGATGGGAAAATCAATTATCTGATAAGCTATCTGATAAGCATTTAAGTAGTGGTTGAACATGAGTATACATGAATTTACATGAGTTATATTCCCATTTTGGATGCCCATACCACAGATATTTTTGTTGCCATGGCACATATTGTTTTATATACCATCGCCCGAACTAAGAGCTCAATTTTTCGAGGAACGCAGTCTTCCCATGTCTTCCCCCTATAGCTACTTGGCAGGGTCTGCCTTACTTGGGATGGTAATATACTGAAGAACTCCAAATATTTTATACCATCATGAATATAATATGATAATATATATATATGATAATATATGATAATATATGATAATATATTCTAATATATGATAATATATGATAATATATGACAATATATTATCATATATTATCATATATGATAATATATGATAATATATGATATCTGTAGCAGTTGTAAATAAGCTGATTTAAAAGTTCCTGTATGATCTAGTTATAGTTTCAGGCTGGTTGCATTCATTTTGGAAATCAACACCAAATTCTTTGTTTATAGTCCCTTTAACTATCTTTAACTGCTATTTTGGCAGTTTTCGGACTTCTTTTCCGGTTCGGGTCCAACCATTTTTGACCTCTCAAGTCTCCATTCGAGTGGTTGAAACAATGGCTTAAAGAGGTTTGTCAACTTCTTTAAGTAATGTTTTTCACCTCATTTTGTATAGTTAATTAATCTGAAGTCACTTCACTCCCCAGCTTCTTTTGCTTCCCCTCCAAAAAGTTATGCTGGGTTTGTCTCCAAATAGGTTACCCCAAAATCCAGTGCTTTTTCATCATGCTCCTCATTATTTGAGCCATTTTGCCATATACCTTTCTATGCACAATTTTGAGTCGTACACATATAGATATTTACACACTGTACAAATATACGGTATACGTGTATATATTTATTATATTATGTTATATTATATTATACCAGTAGTACCGCACAAGGCGGTGGCGGAAGTTTCAGAATAGGAAACCTATAGGAGACGTTGGTTGTTGTGAATCACGGATGGCAGAGCGAATCCACTGATTGACCGAAAGGTGGTTGGAGTTGTGTTTGCTGGAATGGTTGCAATGGTTGCAGTGGTCACCTCACCCACAACTGCTGGATGTAGTGTGATGTACTGCAACTGTAGTTGTAGTTGTAGCGTAGTGGAGTTGTAGTTGTGGTGTAATGTAATTAGTGTAGTGTAGTTGCAGTCATATAGTTGTAGCTGTAGTTGTTTTGTAGTTGTAGTTGTAGTTGTAGTTGTAGTTGTAGTTGTGTGTTGTTGTAGTTGTAGCTGTAGTTGTTGTGTGGTTGTAGTTGTTGTGTAGTGTAGTTGTAGTAGTAGTAGTTGTAGTAGTTGTTGTTGTAGTTGTAGTTGTTGTTGTTGCTGTTGTTGTTGTAGTAGTTGTTGTTGTTGTAGCTGTAGTTGTTGCAGTTGTAGTTGTAGTTCTAGTTGTAGTTGTAGTAGTTGTTGTTGTTGTTGCTGTTGTTGTTGTTGCTGTTGTTGTTGTAGTTGTTGTAGTTGTAGTTGTTGTTGTAGTTGTTGTTGTTGTAGTTGTAGTTGTTGTGGTTGGTGTTGTTGTTGTTGTTGTTGTTGTTGCTGTTGCTGTTGCTGTTGCTGTTGTCGTCGAAGTTAGGGTAGTTAAGTTACTTTTTCGACATCTTCACGTCAAAAAAGGCTCAAAACCCACAGTTTTTTACACTTTTGACTTCGAAATGTGCTTCGCGCCACAACGGCGTGCACTTTTTCGACACTTTTTCGACATCTGAACCTCCAAAAGCGGTCCGAACATGGTGTGTTTTGTACATTTTGACTTCGAAATGTGCTTCGCGCCACAACGGCGTGCACTTTTTCGACGTCTGAACTTCCAAAAGTGGTCCGACATTGGTGTGTTTTGTACATTTTGACTTCGAAATGTGCTTCGCGCCACAACGGCGTGCACTTTTTCGACATCTCAACTTCCAAAAGTGGTCCGCTCCTCTAGTGTTTTGTCCATTTTGACTTGGAAATGTGCTTCGCGCCACAACGGCGTGCACTTTTTCATGTCTCATCTGGCCAGCTGGCTCCGCACCCGCCGCTTTAGCGAGCCTACTTTTCGACCCTCCGGAGCCACAAATCATTCGAAAAACACAGTGAATCGCGACTTTCCTACCTTTTCGCGCATCTGCATCTTCTTTCTTCTGATCTTGTCTCTTCTGACTCTTCTCACATCTGCTTTTCAACTGTCCATATTGTCGGAAGTTTCACTTCTAAACTTCCTTCGATTATGTTACATTATATTATATTACATTAGATTAGATTATATTATAGTATATTATGCTATATTAGATTATATTATAGTATATTGTACTATAGCATAGTATAGTATATTATATTATATTGTATTTATGTAGTTTTTCCCACTATCCATCTACTGTATCTCCCCAATGATATCCCAAATCACCGTGTTTCATGCCCATCCAGGACGCCTGTGGCGACGCCTTGTCCCTGGCCTCCTCGGGCGCGGAGCGGCAGCAGCTGCTCCAAGCAGCCGCGGAAGCGCTGGAGCGGCTCAATCGGGAAGAGACCTGTGGCGACTTGGAGCCGGTGATTTATTGGTGATTTAGAGGTGAAAAAAAAGTCTCTGAAAGAGATGATCTTGGTGATTTACTGATTGATTGGTGATTTTGGATGGTGGCTTGGTGATTTTACTCAAGAATTGGTGGTGGCTTGGTGAAAGCCATTGCTGGGAAATGCGGTTTCTTGGTAAACCAACCAAAGATGGAGGGTTGATGGGTATTTAATGATGATTAATGGAGATGTAACCAACTATACCCTCCACCAAACTAACACTTTGACCCAGTGGCTATTGTAGCCAGTGGCTATAACTAACAAGATTGGCTTAGAGCAAATTGAATCCTCAGCAGTTTGTTTACATGCACTAATTACCTAGATGAACATGCCCAAAAGACCGACCACATTGCCCCATGGACATCCCCTGAGCCAGTTGATTTGGGGTTGTTCGCAGGTCTCTTCGCACCACAGAAACTGATTCCTTTGCTGCGAGCGGCAAAGGATCTATCGCAGGAAGGCAGGGGATGCACGATCACGGTTGCCTCAGTGGAAACGAACTTGAAAGAAAAGTATAGAACAAGTACTTAGTTTCACAACTGTACAGTAGGAAGATGTCGGTCCTTGCGATAAAGAAATTCGGAGGTAGAGGGACCAATTTACGCGGATGTGTTGTTTTGGGCATGTGTGATAGATGTGTGACCAACTGTTCCAATCCTAAACATGTTTTGCCAGCCTCATCTTGTGAATAACGGGACCATTCATTAGTGAGTCAGCGACCATTGCTGGTGTTCAGGCAGCCTGTCTTTAGACGATTGCCTCGCACCAGCTGCTCGGAGTTGATGCCACCCCAACCTGGTCGGGCTTTGGTAAGTGTCAGAAATAAATAGGGGCCTTTGCTAAATACCTTGCGACTGGGGATTCTTGGGCACGACTGGGGATTCTTGGTGTGGAATTGTGAGCCAAAGACATGTAGCCTGTGTTCGTGTGTGGGCGGCTGAAAGTTTGTTCACCCAAAGTGTACCAGTCTCATACGGCGGATCGTCAGTTTTGGTTTCTTCCCTTCCACCGGAACCAGCTTATCTTTGGACCTCAGCCTCTCGAGCCGTAGCTTGGATGCAGCCAGGTCTGTTTCTGCATGCAGCGGCCCATGGACGTGCACCAGCTGCCGCAGCATTTCTACGAACTCTTCGAGGTGGCCATTGAGTTGGCCGCGCAGCAGGATTTGGGGAGGAAGGCTTTGGTGACCGGCCAGGGTGATGCGGGTAAACTTAATGGCCCAAGATGGCCCAAGAATCACCCTAGTTTAGGTGCTTGAATTCTTATCAGACTTAGCGTATCTTAGCTTTGTATGGTGTGGTGTGGTGTTGTGTTTGGTGTTGTGTTTGGTGTATTTTGTGTATTTTGTGTTGTGTACTTTGTGTTGTGCTTTGTGTTGTGTGTTGTGCTTTGTGTTTTGTGTTGTGTTTTGTGTTGTGTTTTGTTTTGTGTTGTGTTCTTGTGCTGTGATTTGTATTGTGCTTTGTGTTTTGTGCTTTGTGTGTTGTGTTTTATGTTGTGTTCTTGTGTTGTGATTTGTGTTGTGCTGTGTGATTTGTGTTGTGCTTTGTGCTTTGTGTTTTGTGTTGTGTTTTGTTCAAAGGAAGTTTAGTTGGAAAACTTCCGAAATACAGACGAACGTCCAGGGGCAGTGTTGTCATCATGTTCATGTCTCATATTCTCATCATGACAACCACATCATCACGTCAACCATCCATCCTCAAGTAGTTGGGAAGCGTAACAGTTCGGAAGCGTGCGAATTCACCGGTGAAAACACTCTCGGGCGCCGTGGTCGCCAAAGTATGGTCGCTGTTTCCGGGGTTGCGGGCCGCTAAACGCAATGTAGCAGCTGCGCGAAAGGTAGTTGTAGACGATAGCGCTACTCTTGTGGCATGCGGAATAGCGAATGTCCAGGGGCAGTCTTGTCATCATCATGTCATCATCGCGTCAACATCATTCCATTCATGCCAGTCTTGCCATTAATTCTACTCATTTCTTTCATTTCTTTCATTTCTTTCATTGCATTCATTCCCTTCGTTCCATTCGTTCCATTCGTTCCATTCGTTCCATTCATTGCATTCATTGCATTCATTCCCTTCGTTCCATTCGTTCCCTTCGTTCCCTTCGTTCCCTTCATTCCCTTCGTTCCCTTCGTTCCATTCGTTCCCTTCGTTCCATTCGTTCCCTCCCTCCCTCCCTTCCTTCCTTCCTTCCTTCCCTTCCTTCCCTTCCTTCCCTTCCTTCCCTTCCTTCCCTTCCTTCCCTTCCCTTCCTTCCCTTCCTTTCCTTCCTTTCCTTCCTTTCCTTCCTTTCCTTCCTTTCCTTCCTTTCCTTCCTTTCTTTCCTTTCCTTCCTTTCCTTCCTTTCCTTCCTTCCTTCCTTCCTTCATTCCCTCATTCCCTCATTCCTTCATTCATGCCAGGTCATTTTATTCTATCGCGTATTCATTTCCTTCGTCGCAAGCTTCATCTCATCGTTTTCCAAATCACAAACAGTTCCTGTAAGCAAACCTTTTCCTATAGTCACTATAGTCACCTCCCTGTTTCGAAACTCCCGCCCCGGCGTGTGCCGGGCACTACTGGTACTGTATATTATGTTATGTTACATATGTTGCGTTACATTACATTACGTTATGCTATGTTATGTTGTATATATATATATGCTTATGTTTATATCATGTTTGCATATGTACATACGCAATTTTACACCTAATCGTATTATGATAAAAGGTGGCAATGTTTCCAGCATTTTCCATCCAATGTGTCAATGTGTATTCAATTGTGTGTATACATGTACATGTATATAATATGTATATATATATATACATATGCATATATATATATATACTGGCAGCGATTTTGGCAGTGCAAAACTCTTCGAAGTGACAGGACTTGAAGGGTCACAGTTTCGTTTCAGAGATGCTCAGCCAGCTGATGGTCGGCAACTGAGGGCCCGATTGGGCAGTGGGCAACGGTTTCCTTGTTCAGTTCTTGATGTACCAATTTTGGACATGGGACGGCAGATGACGGCAGTAGGGTTGCAAAAAAGAAAACGACACTTTACTTTAGATTCATTATGAATTCATTATGATTCATTTATCACACCGAGGAAGGCATTGACCCACCAAGCATCCAATCTTTTTTTAAGATCGACATCCGAATTTCATGATTCCCGTGAAGGTCATGCTTTGCAACGCCTCGTGGATGCATGTTTCGGTCGGGAGCTGAGAAACGTTATGGAAAAAAAACTGCAGTTGTTGTGGGGGGGTTTGGCAGTTGAATATGAATTGAAAAAACTGAAGGTTTTGATATGTTTTGATCACTTTCCAGCATTAACCATACGATTTGGGGTACTCGTACTTTAAACCAGTCGGCTTAATTTGACCCATGGCTGGCCGCAGAGGCTTCAAGCAACTTCACACATTTGACGGAGAGGCTTTGGGTCAGAGCTGCAGTGGTCGTCATAGTTTCAAGTGGCACCTGCACCTGTCGCAATGGAAATTTGAGACACGTCGCAAACGTTGGTAACTTACCTTCAACGAATCCGGCGGGGACAACAATGTGCCCAAATTTCGGACGCCTGATCCCAGGGAAGGGCACCTGGGAGACATTGCGCTGCTCATCCACTTTGCGCAGAAGCTGGGAGGTACCGGAAGTACTGGGCCGTTTCTGGTGGAAAACCAGTGATGACTGTGACATGCCATGACTATGGGTGGATAGCTGATGTTGTTGCAACTGACATGGCTCTCAAAGTGATACCACAGTTCATGACCATTCAAAAATGGGAAAAGGATGGCAACACATGCAATTTTGGGGTACCCTGCCTTCAGCCAAATCTATAGATCATGTTGCAATCTACTCTCGACTCATGAACTAATTTAGCGCCGACTGACAGTTCACATACTTGATTAGTAATCTGACTGATGAAAACCGCGCAGAAGTTCTTTATAGTTCTTTTACTTTGTTCATTCTCAGCAGTAAAGATTTAGATCGATTCAGAAAGATTTTAATTTTAAAATCATAATTATCACGTTCAGAAATTTGAGTCATCCTGTTGAGAAGCGTCATTTGGTTCCCTTGACCGTTCTGCCTTTTCACAGCATGAAGGTATTGCAAAGAACTGGCCCTTGCCGGATTTGGTGGTCTCCCTGGCTGCGGCTTTGTGGCCTGTGTTGCTGGGCATGAGGCCATTGGTCAAAAGGATGCAGAGGATGCACCAGACTGTCGGGATGTGTCGGGTTGCTCGTGTGCCGAGGTTGGACAACTCAGCAAACTTCAACGCGGAGCAGGCGGCGGTTCACAAATCCACAGATTGCAGCTGTAGCAAGCTCAAAGTCTATTGACATGCTATCCATCTACAAGATTTCCATAGATTTCCATAGTCCTCAGAGAATCCCATTCATGAATCGTCATGAATCTATGGCCCGTGGATCTGATATCTCCATGGCAGATTTCATCTATGACTGGCTATGACCCATCCAATCCTTTCGTGGAAGCCGAACTGTGTCAGACTGTGTCAGGTCATTTCCTTGAAGAACTGCTGCTTGCAGCTGAGTTTTTTAGTGCCGCAGCTTTTCGAGTCTTGGCGAAATCAAATGGCTTATGGGATGGGTCAAACTTTGCAACCCCATGTTCCTCAATATGGAGGGTTTCCATCTTTCCTAAAATGGCTGGTAGCCCTATAAATCATGCATGTTCATTGGGTTTTCCCTATAAATCATCCATTTGTCATAGGGTTTTCCGTTCATAAACCATCGATTTTAGGGTAGCCCATTTGTGGAACCTCCCCTTGGACCCAGGATGTGCCACTGTTCGAGGAGCTGCAAGGACAGAAATGTGCACATGTATTTTTGTTTATCTAATAATCTAATAATCTAATTATCATGAATGATCTATAAATATATGTCTGTCTTTGTTCTATCTACATACCTATTTGTCTATCTGTCCATCTGTCTATCTATTTGTCTATCTGTAGACCTATCTGTCTGTCTATCTGTCTGTCTATCTATCTATCTGTCTATTTGTCTGTCTCTCTATCTGTCTATCTATCTAATCTAATCTAATCTGGTCTTGTCTTGTTTTATCTTATTTGATCTGGTCTTTTCTTATCTTATCCTATCTATCTATCTATCTGTTTAATCTAATCAAATCCAATCCAATCCAACCTAATCTAATCGTGTCGTATCTTATCTAATCTATCTATCCTATCGATCCTATCTATCCTTTCCTATCCACCCTGTCCATCCTATCTATCCTATCCTATCATATCTAATCTTGTCCTATCCTATCCTATCCTATCTAGTCTAATCTAATCTTATCCTATCCTATTATCTATCTATCTACCTACCTACCTATCTATCTACCTATCTATCTATCTACCTACCTACCTATCTATCTACCTACCTATCTATCTACCTACCTATCTATCTATCTATCTATCTATCGTTAATTGTATATAGAATATATGTATATTTATAGATTGGCTAGATAGATCGGCTAGATAAGCAGATAGACAAATAGATTGGTAGCATCAGCTGCACCAGGAGCCGAGGTTGTTTTGAACGACAATCAATCGGCAGGCGCAACCGAAACGGGAAGGGATTGAAACCATCCTGAAATGGTCGGTGTATGTAGTGAATTATGGGGATTCACCAGCAATTCTGGGGATTTACCAGTGATTTTATGTAATCCACGACCTAGTTGCTGGTGAATCTCCCCATCAATCGGTTCCAGGCCAGCTACTCTCAGTGTTGCTGGTCCCCTATTTGATGGTCGATGGCACGTCACTATCCTTGCTGGAAGCTGGGCAGCACCGCTGTTTCAGTGTGGTGAAACTGGGTGAAATGCTCCTAAACGCTGGTATGGCTTTGTATGAAAAGGGACTACCCCAAAAACTTGATGCTATACTGATATACTGTAGCTCATTGAATTTTCCATTTAAAAACAAAACAAAAACGTGGGTATACTTAGACATAGCCTCTATCCCCCAACAGTGGTTAGTGAAGATTAACAGGAGACCCCTACTAAAGAGATGATAGTTTTGGTGGTCAGTGTATCTATACAATTTGATTAGTTGTTAATCTCTGTATTTCCAGTCATGTCCACAGCCATTTTTTCATGGCCATTTTTTCCCATGGTGACCATGGTGACCATGGTGAGGTGCCAAGCCATGAGCTCTTCAGCAGCTGCCAGTTGCTGCTGGATGGGCTCCCATTTCCTCCGCCGAACGACGGCAACGAAGCCGTTGTGCTGGGCGCTCTGCTGGCGGCCGCTGAGAGTTCCGCCTCGCTTGGAGAGATGGCCCTGGAGAGGTTGGTGGCAGGCTGGGGGGGCGTCTTGGGGATGATCTTCTTGATGTGTATGATGTGTATATATATATAATAACATTATATAACTATATATAATTACATTATATATATATGTACATTATAACCAAAACGGGGAGGCTATCAAATGGTTTGGAAGCTTGGATGAGGAATTTCTGCACCTCTGGAGAATCTCCAGTGTTCTATGACTAAATGATGGTTTATATATCAGGGATTCATCATGAATCATCCTTAAATATCCTGAAATGAGCTTTAGGAGTGTTGATTGTCTAGCATACTTGGGATATTCCCAAATAACCCAAAGTATTCCAACATCATTGGCTTCTCTTAGCATCAGTTGGGATGTCCAGCACTGCCCCAGGTGACCTTCCATTGCTGCCCTTGAGATCTGTGGTTTCTTTGACTTGTGCAGTGCTTCGGCCGCAGAAAACTCGGGCTTCCGACCGGTGATGGACTATAACGAGCACTTAGAAATGGGGCTCAAAATATCAACAAAGACCAATTCAGATAGAGTGGTTTGCATCATGCGGTTTGCCAGTTGAACTGGTGTGAAATGAGCTGGTTGTAAGTGGTAGGGGTCCATCATTGAGGCTAAGGCAGCCCCTCAAATCGATGTGCAGATGTCGTGGTCCATATCTAGCCATTGACATGGCTGGAAGTTGAGAAGTCACCGATGAGTGCTGCAGAGCTTTGACAGGAAAACTATGGAAAACTGAGTAGCTTCCAAGAGCAGTCATCTACTCATTCAGCGCATCTACCTTGGAGAATCACTCAGATTGCCCGCATATGTCCACCACGGTCAGGGATGATGGGGGTCAACTGACAGCCGTACAGGTAGACATCATTTGTTGGGTCACGTCTCCAAAATACTGGTTTCATATTCACATTGACATCCCAAAACAATCATCAAAAATCATGAGCAACACAAACATAGAACATTCAATAAATGAACAAGATATACATACAGTATATATATATTATATTATATAATATTATATATATATTATATCCACACGTGGAAGATTTCATCGTTCCCCGGCCCAGGTGTGCCGCGTCACCGCGGCCAGCACCTCCCCCCATACGGCACGGCTGCGGTCATCCCAAATTGCCACGGCCGCGGCAACGCTGCGGCGCGGCGCGGCGCGGAGCATGCAGGGAGCGAGGGCCCAAGAGGTGGCTACGGGATGGGGGTAATTATGGGGTGGTATTTGGAGTTTTTTTTTGGGATCTTCAACACTAAAAATCCATGGGATGAACGCCACATAATTATTTGAGACATGTTGAGACCCTGGGATGGGGGTGTTTGTTCTTTTGGGGAGATGGGATATAAACTGGGGATATACTGTGGATTAAGGGTACAATTCCGCTCAGACAATAGTTTGGATTGGATTATGATGACATGGTGGATCGGATGGAAGAAGTCCTGCACTAGTTGGTAACTATTAGGTAACCATGAAACACTGCAAAGAATGGGATTTGATGAGATGAACTATGTGCCAACTGGTGCAGGATTTCTTCCATCCACTGTATGTAAAAATTTCAGAAATGGGCTTGCAAAAATGATGGGGCATACCGCATACCATGAATATGGTGGAGCGGGGAAAATATGATATGGAATATTATTATGGAATACTGTACCCGAATCCCCCAACTATGCTTGGAATTCATGCATCTTCATGTTCCCACTGATTCTACTGCCTGCATATGGATACCGATAATTATTCGTTGAGATTCCACGACCCCCTCCATTTGTATCGAAAAATCAGCATGAATAGTTTCAAGATCCTTTCTTGGAAGCAATCACCCTGATTTCGGTCCTTTTTCTGCAGGAATGGCGGCAGCTGAAAGTGCCTGGGGACCAGCGAGATGCCATTCATCAGGGGCCGGCGAATCTGACGACCGCCTTGGGGTTTCTATTGGCGTCGGCAGAGGACATGGAGGAGATTTTGCCAGCTGGTGGGATAGTTTTTCCATGTTTTTCCTGCGGACTTTGATCCATGTGTCCTTGGGCCCACCCACACACTTGCACTGAAAAAATCTTGGAGGAAACCTAGGTGCACCAGGTTTTCCCAGAGATTTTCGCTTCAACCCACTGACTTCTGGTGACAAATGAGCCACCCTGGGCTACCTTCTGCGACGCCAGGAGGCACGGGACATTCTCCTTGGGGCAGTGGTGTTGGAGGATGCCACTGGGATGATTCAGGCGGCCGTAGGATGTATCAGTGGCAGAGTGGTCTTGAACTCCGGATGTTTTTGGCACCAGCAAAAGGTTTTGTTTTTGTCTGCGATTTTCTGAAACCCAAATTTGGTCTGCTGAGATCACAGCGGCTGGCATAGGTAGTAGTCGCTGATCTTCTGGGTCAGAAGCTGCAGCGTTGCTTGGTCGAAGTGCCAATGGTCCCTATCGTTCCAGGCGGATGGTTCTCGTGGAGACTGGCAGTGGCTGGCAGATTGTCTCCCTTCACCCAGATGGATGGCACAAAATGTCGAGGTGCGGCCAGCAGTACTGGGCACCACAGGTGCAGTTTGTCTCACCATGGGGATACCTGGGATACTCGTCCCCGAAATGGCAATAGTTTCAAAGCGGAAAAGAGATGGATAAACCATGATAGACCATGGACTTTTGAGCTTCAAAATTTTGAGACGACCCCACAAGATATACCATTATATTGTAATGTCAAAGCTCTAACCGAGGCAAAGTTGCAGGTGCTGCATTCATGGCGAGAACCGTATTAAGTATTTGGCTGAATTTGTAGAGAACTAGAGAATGACAAAGACATTATATAAAGATCATTCAAACATATGAATCTGAATATTCAAGACTATTCAATTTTTCCACCAAAGATTCCTGGAAACTGGAACATGGGCTGCCAATCATCTTGCTACTTTGCCCCAGATGGCAGGTTTTGTTGGGGCATGCTTTACAGGCTGGTCAGGGTCATCAGGGATGGTGTAGATCCGACCCATCCACTGCCGCGTCCAAGAAGAGGGTACCAGGGTACCCCCAAAAACCAAGGGTTTATCATTTTTTCTGAGTGAAAATTACCCATGAATTGGGGTATATCCGTATGATATATCCCAGATATATCCCAGTTGTTATCATTTTTTGACACACCCAAATCAGAATGTTGTTGCTTCAAGTTGGTTATGTCCAGTTTCTCCATTTCTTCCATCCATTTCCGGTGAGTTCCTTCCATCATTTTCGGCTCAGGAGGATGTCGCCTGTGGGATGCTCACGCTGATGTCCTCCTGTCTGACGGACTCCAAGGCGGCCGTGCCGAAGCAGCATTCAGATGGTTTGGTGATATCCATGAAGAAACCATGCTTTATACCCTCTGGTGAACTAACGTAACTATGGAAAGATCCGCCATTTTCAATGGGAAAACTCACTATAAATGGCCATGTTCAATAGCTATGTTAAATTACCAGAGGGTAAATGATGACTAATTATGGGGGGAGCCTCCAAATACATCCAAATAGTGATCATCGGACAATGAAACAGACTATAGGGATCTATAGGGGTTGATCAATCCAGGGTTGACATTGTCTTTCATAGGTGAAAGGACAGGGTTTGCTCAAAGTCTGATGCCCTGACCGCGGATTGGACATGTGGACCTCAGCCGATGCCTGTCTTCAATCTCCACAAGTGTGTTTAATGGAAAATCCAAGGAAAAACATGGAAAAACCATATATTTGGCTGGTTTAAAATCTTGTCTTCATGTAGATTTCCCCTTAAATCAATTCATGGATCCATGATATCAGATCTAGTCAATCCGTAAGATGGCTGGGTATCAATCCATCCATCCAAGCCGTCGGCTGAGGCGCTCATGGCCAGTAACCATGCCATTGCGGGGCTGGCCATGCGATGGCAGCGGTCAGCTGAACATCATGGCCACTCAGACGTAGAGATTTAGGGAGCTCAGGGGGCAGATTGTTCTATAGATATATATAAGTGTGGATAGTTTTGGGGCTGTGTATTTGCATCAATTTCATGGCGAGATAGTAGGCAGATCATGTGTATTTCATTGGCATACTGGGAAAAGTGTGGGATTCGTTTGGAATATAATGGAGGTTAATCATAGGGATACAATGGGAAATTCTAATGGATTACCGGTCGTGCGGATACCATGGGGATGAACACTGGCATAGAACTGCCAGGTACTTCAGAGTTGGTGAAATGCATCGGGCTCTTCATGTTGCGTGGCCGCAGATGCTGAAGCGGATAACATGATGCAATGTTGATGACAACGGTTGTATATAATTGCTTACATGATATGTAAATACATATGTATGTATATATATATACATGTGTATATATACATATATATATAATATATACACATACATTGATATATATATATATATATGTATATATATATATACATATATAATCATATATATAATTATATATACATATATATGATAAATGCATTTACATGCAAAGCTAAGCCAAATGATATATGATATTTGTTGATGACTAAACTGCTGTATAAATGATCGGACGGGTACGGAAGCACAACACACGGCAACGCATGGTGTTTAAGCCAATTTTCCACCATTTCCAGCACATCAATTTCGCCTAGCTTTCAAACCCTGGAAGAGACAAGGACACATCTGGCCCCACATAAAACGACATGGAAAAAAAGTCCATCAAGAAATGTCTACAGATTTGGGTTTTGTCCAAAAATCGGTGGTTGGTCATGATTTTCCCTAGTGAAGTAGCCACAAGTTAAGGCCTCATAAATCAGGGTAATGTGGTAAACTGAAAAATAAACCATCCCCGATTTCACCAGAAATTCAGAAATGGAATGCATTTTCAGCCACCATTAGCATTAGACTCATTAGACCCAAATTTCGAGGCAAAACCATATGTTTCTGTTCTGGTGAGGCTGCAACAGTTGGCTGCTACACCCGGTGATGCGCTGCAGCACAGTCCATTGCTCGCCCTGCTGGCGGACTGCAGAAACGGGGTCGAGTTGTTTGAGGCTGAGGTTTTTGTCCCCAGCTGCAGTGATTACCCTGAGGTAAACTAAGATAGCTATGGAATGGTATGGGAAATCCCCCTGGCATTTTAACCTGGAAAATTTCTATAGAAATGGCTGGTTTTTCCACATCCATGTGAAAAAAAGCTGGGCACGGTATGAATGATCATCTATTTGGATGTGCATTGAAGGTAGTATGTGGCTACCATGCGTATGAATCAGATACCTCTGGATTGCCACCCACTTCGACAAGCTGTTTTTTATATGATCCATGTATGAATGGGATAACATATAATATGATATATTATAATATGATATAATATAACATAATATAATATAATATAATACAATACATTTATATTAACATTATATATATATATGTATAGTCTGATATTATGTATGATTTAGCAGCCACATTCTGGATCGGATAATCCTTGA